CGACCCTTGAAGTGTATTTTTTGGCAAGCTGGGTCTTCTGGTTGGCCAACCGCTGCTTCAGTTTGTCTACCCGAGTGCGGAGGCCTGCTGCTTCACTGTCCACCTCCTTTAGAGGCGCGAGCTCAGCCTTGAGGTCCGACACAGACTTCTCCAGTTTTGAGATCCTTTTCTTAGCCGCCTCTAAGTCCGCTTTAACCTACAAGTTGGCAGTAGCCTGATAATACAGTATGTCAGTAGTATGAAGTTCATTTTAAGCAATCTGGAACATAGCTTTGTTAGAATCAGAGGCGGCCCAGGCCTTCGCAGCCTTTACCTCTTTGCTCTTTTTGTTTAGGGGCTTGCGGAGACCACACACTCGCAGTATAGACTGCACTCGGTCAAAAACAGTCGTCGGTTATAGGCGACCAAGGCAACTATTTAAACAACAAAAAGAATTTTTTACTAAGTATACCTCGGCCAGGAGAGCCAGGATGGCTTCAAGGTTAAGGGTGCTGACTCCCTTAACAGACTTCCTGTCCTCGACAGGGATGGCCTTCAGCATGGACCTAGCCATCTAAACCAGATCCGGCCTTTGAGAGACATCTGCACAATTAATTCCCTGTAAGTAATTAGTGTAAATTCGGCCAATAGACCAACTGCTCTCAGAGGTGCTAGACGACTGCTGATTGAATTTGACCCTCAAAGGGTAAGGGAAAGGACACAAGTCTTTGATACCTTCAGCAGTCGCCTCCTTCTCCTTCTCCTTCCCATGCCGACTACCAGCAGGGATGGCTGGAGATTTGGAGGAGGGTTGCTTCCTGGCCTTGAGGCCACATGTTTCCTGGCTCTCCCAGGGATCGTTACGTCACCAATCGTCTGTTTCCTAACTTTAGGATCCGGATGGGAGGAGGAGGAAGGCTTTGCTAAGTTTCCCTGCAAAATAATCACAATAAGTAAGAAGCAGGCGGCAGAAAAGCTAAATGAAATATGTTCAGTTGAAAGTTCACCTTTGACTCCTGCACAACAGGCGATTCTTTAGTTAGCCGCTTGCCCAAGATGGCCGAGCGATACTGGGCAGCAACTTTCTTTGAGGCCGAGAGCTTTTCCATGGCTTTGTCTGCAAAAGATGAATCAAGGAGTTAGTTTGACACAAAATAAATCAAGTTTCACAAGACACTTGAACAGGCGATCAGCTACCTCTCGGCATCTCTTCACTAAGGCCACAGGCGGCCAGATATGTCCCATCGTATAACCAGTTATACTTGGGAATATAGTTTTGAGGAATGAACTCCCTCGCCCCAGTCTCGGGGTTCGCCTAGATGTCTGCTTTGAAGAGCCCTCTGTCAAGGATCTCCTCTTCCGCTTTACGGGGAACAGGCGGCAGCTTAGAGCCGCTTGTTAGGAAATGTGGGTTCCTGTTCCACCTGTTAAATTTTTTGTTCCTGACTATGTCAGGGCTGAGACGATGTAGAAAGTGTCCCTCCAATCTTTCCACTTGTTCTCCTTCCCCACAGTCATCATATAACTCTTGTGGCTAGATAGCTGATACCAGCCGGTCCCGCTTGGCTTTGAGGTCCGGCTGAGGTAGTGCATATGAGCGAATGCCTCAAAGCTTGGCTCTACCTCATGCATTTCACATCCGGCAACATAGCCCTAGATGTTGAACCAAGAGTTTGGGGCTAGTTGCCAGACACCTAGCTTGTATTCGTCCAAAATATTCTCTACAGCTGGATGTAGAGGAAATCTCAGGCCAGCCTTAATTGCCGCCTCATAACAGCCAAAACAGGCGTCCCCGTAGCAGGACTGCTCGGGGCAGACTACAGTGTCCTCGACATCTGGCGTGCAAAGGACATACCCATGCCCCATGACATGGTCAGCTTTGAAGCTCCCAATTTTTCCGCTATCATTTTCCGCCTTCCGCGGGAACATGATGATAGTAGGCGGCATATTGCTCTTGGTTGGTGGCAGATGGCTCAGCCTAGTTTGCTCCCAAATCTACTGAGAGGGACTCTCATGCAGTCTCTAGCCGAGAGTGCCTCTCTTTAGACTCATCCGAAAATTTGCTTGAAGTGCTTGGCTTAGAGTCGCTATCTGAGCTCTCGGATGAGGGGTCCGCCTGGCGGGCCAGATCAACAAAGGCCGGCATATCATTTTCAATCTCCTCCCCTGATTCGTCTAAAATGAAATCACTAGGGGTGCTTGGGGCACCAAGCGGCACGTCAGACAATTTGCTGACAAGCGCATAAAAGGAAGAGCCGTCTGAATTTGTCACCCTTGCCGTTCTCTTAGTTCTGGCCATGGTGTCCTACACAGACACATAGTCAGTCGAACTTGGGGCAGTTCGTAAAGGGTGATCCAGCAAGGGGCAGTCGGCACTCCTAGTTCTAGATTGAGCCTTCCCCGGTGACCGACTGATCACTAACCTAGGCCGTGCAGTGTGCTTTTGGAAAACCATTTTCAAAAGAAAACAAAAAGAAGGTACGAAAAAGAAAAAAGAAACAGGCGGTTACCTTTAGTTGGTGAAGATGAAGGCGCTTGAAAATCTACAGCGGCTGTAAGAGCAAGCGGTCTGGTGCAGTCGGAAGTTTTCTCTCAGAAAAAGAAAGTTCTCTGGAATTTTTGGAAATGTCCAAACAAATGATTTGGACATCCCCTATTTATAAGGGGGTGAATTCCAAGAGACGGTAAAAAAAAAAAAAGAAAAAAACGGTAAAAAACCGTTAGCCAATCAGAGCGTGACATCTGTCACAGGCGCCACGTGGCAAGCCACGTTACCCCTGTGAGAGGCAAATGATTAGAGGATTTTTCCCCGCCACGTGGACCACTCAAGCTCTGCCACGTGGACCAACTAGAGTCCGTCATGTGTCACCTCGCGAGAGGTCCAAGGTGGACCAATCAGGCCACGACACGTGGCAGACAAATAGCCAACTAGGAAACTGGCCTCTAATGGCCCAAATTCCTAGGCAAAGCCCAGTCAGTCCTAGGTTTACTGAAACCTAGTACTGGGCATGTTTTTCTAACACCCTATAAAAGAGAGATGTTTCCCCCTCGGGAACACACAATTAATTCACATTAACTCACAATCAGAGAAAGTCAGACATCTGACACCTCGAACTGAGCAATTACACATTATAGATTCTCTCTTGGAATCCGAGAGGGACTTTACTTATCGCACTTTACTCCTCAAACACGTTCTAAGTTGATCGTCGAAGGCAGAACTCCCACTCATAGGAGTTTCCGTTATTTTGCAGGTACAGGCATCCAGAGGTCAGTCTTGGTGGTGTAACTCTCCCGCAGGACACTCAAAAAACCCCGAAACAATACTGATCTACTTTGACAGGCTTTTGAGGCCCTAAAAATTGCGAGGCCCTATGCTATTGGGCTGTTTGTACAGCCTAATAGCCGGCTCTGATTATGCTAGGGGGTTAGATTAACTATTACCCCAATTTCAAAGTCCCTTTATAACTTTATCTTTAATCCAAGAACGTCAAAAATATTAGAATTTTTCCTCCACTAAATTTTCCTCTCCTAATACTAGCATTCGAGGCATGTCCTTAGAGTGATCATCATACTCCATGGTTTTGTCTATGTGTTTACATAAGCATAATTGTGTATATCATAACAAACTTGTAAATCATTTTTTTTTTTTAAAAACTTTTTAACATAGCACAATTGTGTTTTGTATTCAACATATATTGTACAACATTTGGTTTTAAACATGCAACATTTATCCTTCCTTAGAAACTCCGTCAAATAATTAACAAGAATGTAACTAAATATCGCATGATAATATGATATACATTTGTTATTTGTATACGGAGTACAATAGATATATCCTCGAGCGCCTCACTAGATGTATGGTATTTTAAGCGTAAGTAATAACAACAAAAATCATCTATAATATAATCAGGACAAAATTAGAAACATTAGCTCGTTGGGTCAATTAAAAGGATAGGTTGTCGACAACTCATACGACTTGAGGAGAAAAGGAGTGCGTCCAAAAGGCTTAGATTCGGCCGATAAATATAGACCTTCATTATTTTTTTATATTCTTCTTGTTGGAGTCGTTTAAAATTAATTGAATTGAATTAAAAAAAATGAATTACATGGCCGAAAATAATTTGTTTCATATATTGGGGCTTGGGTAAAGGGAGGTGCGTGCACGTCTAAAGAAAAGCTTGAGTTGAATTTGTAGCTTCAATGTTAGTAGAATAGTAGTAATGGAGTACTTGTTTGAAAGTGAGAGAAGTGGATGATAGCTGTAATCTGCTGTCTATCCATTTTTTTTAATGTAAAATGTGTACTTATATTTCCTAATTAATTAAATTATACGTAGTACTTTTTACTTACAAGTTTAAGAGTTCTGTATAATTAAATAGGGTGTATGACTCGTTTGGGCTTTGTGTGCTTTGTGATAAAGAAATGGGGCATGTGATTCACTGGCCTTTGTGTGCTTGACGTGCTCACCAAACGCAGCAAATATGGATTAGGGGTCAATTTGATTATTCGGGTTGGATTCATTTAAGTCGGGTTGGGTCGGGTCAAATTAAACTGGATCTAATTCGAGTTTGAGCCTCTTTAAATTATTGTGTTTATTTAAATCGAAATCTTTGTTAGGTTGCTTTCAGATATGGCCGAATTAGTTTTTAAGACCTCTATTTGTAGTCCCACAAATCAAATGAGTAGTCCCCACTACTTTTGCTATACTAGTGCGGCTAACACGTGTGCCATAGTTAGACGACATATCTATGGAGCCCTTTTGGATTGACCATATGTCACAAATTTAATTGTTAGTAGCATTAATGAGTGATAATATGTACACAAATATTTTTAGAGGTACATACTGCACACTATTTTTAAGAGTTAAAAAAAATAAGAGACCAAACCGGTCAACCAGTGGCCCAACCGGTTTTGGCCTTGGCCACCAATTATGCTGGTCGTCGATAATAAAAAAAAAACCCCACCATCTTCCTGTCGGTGAGGAAAAGTAATGGGTCAATGTCGGGGGGGATGTGATGGGTCGCCGGCGAGGGAGAGGTGGTCATCGCTGGTTAGAAAGGATGTTGGTATCAAGGTGGTGGTGATTGGTGGCAAGAGGGAAGATGGTAGTGAAGTACTAAAGGCATGATGGTCCATTATTTGAAATGTTGGTGGTAATGATAAATTTTATTGGCGGTATTTAACACCTCTATGATGGCAAGATAGATTAATAGTCAAAGGTGGATTACAATGTTGCAAGAGGTAGCAACTATGTAGGGGTAGTTTTAAAATAAACAAAAACTATTAAATAAGTGAAAAATACCATTAAATGCATTACACCTTGGTGAATATAATTTTTTTTTTAACAAAATATTTGTTTGTTTGTTCCTTTTTTTTTTTTTTTTTCTAAGAAGGTTTCCATTAAAAAAAATAAATTTGTAATTCGAGTAAACATTAAATAAGGTCAGGACTGCAGGAGGGGTAGTGCAACTGTGCAAATGACAGAACTAAAAAAATAAAGAGTTCATCTAAGTTTACAGTCGTAACTTCGAAGTCAGCTGCTGGGAGTTCTCGCATCGTTAATCTTACAGAGTTCCACTCTCTCTCCTTCGCACAAACATAGAGATACGAGAGTGATGAAGCCATTAGGTTGGTGGCTGATGTTGGTGGGTTCATTGCGTTTAGCGTCTGTTTGGTTTGGCTTCTTTGATATTTGGGCTCTTCGTCTTGCTGTTTTCTCACAATCTGACAGTAAGTTTTTCATTTTTTTTTTTTTGCTGATTTCAGACTTTTAATTTCATGCAATTTTTAATTTTACTCCTCGATTTTCATGGGTTCTGCTTGATTAATTTTATAATTATGTGGTTGAAATGCAGACCCAATTATTTTTTTCAATTTTCTACTGCATTATTGATGTAAGTTGTGTTAGAACTATTCATATAATTGATATTAATTGCAATTTCAAGAAATTATTGCTTTAATTGAGGTTGTTATTGCTGATATTATATACCCAATTAATTCAATTATAATGTGGTGGAGATCCCAAAGTTTATGCATTGCTTAAACTGCGGATTATCTTATTTGATTGACTCCAGAAATCCTGTGGTTGTAAAATCTGTTTGCCGGCTGTTAAAAGAATAGTTCCATGTTATTTGTTCGATAAATATTGTGATGTAAGTTCAGAATTTAACTTGATTCCCTCTTTTATGATCACCAATTTGACCATGTTATGCTCATGCTGGACTTAATCTTCATTTTGATGGGCTATTAATGCTTTGATGTTAAAAATAAATCACCTCGTTTTTATAACCGCAATCTTCCTTGCTTTTGTAATTCTTGCCGTGTGCAAGACTTGATTTAGTTTGGATGCAATGCTTCTTTCATGTTGTTCAAGTTGATTCAAGCCCTCTTTATGTACAATATAACTAATATCCTGCAAAATGACATCAGTTTGTCTACAAACATCTTCAGCCATGATGACATTGTTAATTCTTTGCTTATAAATATTTGTCTCGTTTTCATCCCTCAAATCATGCTTATATTTGTGGGCTGTGCGAGATTTGATTTGCTTTTGAATTTGGATTGACATGTTGGATGCAGTGTTTCTTTCACATTGTTAAGTTAAAGTTAATGCAAGTCCACTTGATAAGATTACATCAGTTTGCCCCCCAACATCTTTTATGACAATGACATTGTTTAGATACTTATTAAGTAATCTCCTAATATAAAAAAAATAACTCAGTTTCGTAGATGCTCTTCTACTGTAAGAAGCAAGAGAGATTGCATAATGATTTTCAGAGGTGCTTCCTTTGCGTGGAAACTTCACTTCTGTTTTTTTGCACAAAGTTGAAGAATCATATTGTAAGGGCAGAGCATAGTTTGATTAGTTGATCAGTAGATTAATTAGTGAGTAAGATAGATATGGAAACATGATCATTTAGAGACATTATACTATTATAGAGGGAATGTTGGTGTAGTTCAAAGCCACTTATTATGCTCATGCTGATGGACATTCATGTAATGAAATTATCTTATGCTTCTTTTGGTAAACAATATAGTTGCCGATCTTTTGAGAGGTTTCGTTTTAGTGTCTTATCTTTATTCTTTTTCGATTAGAGACATTACTAGTGAGGAAAGTAGAGGGTTGGGATAAATCCAAAGATGACTTGGATCGAAGGAGTTAAGAAAGACATGGAGAAGTTGGGTTTGTAGGAGCATATAGCATTGGACATAGGGAATGGAATGAGCGGATCATTATACATGAGTACAAGAGATTAAGTCTTAGTTCATTTAGCCGACCCCATCTTTGGAATTGAGGCTTTAGTTGTTTTTTATTAGAGATATTACTTTCCTAACAATATGAAATACATATTCAATGTATGTCTTTGATAACAAATTTGGTACATGTATTAGTTTGGGTTCAAGAATTTGACATTTCTAAATTAGTAATAATAACTTCAAAGGGAGACGTTGTTGGGTATGCAGTCCAAGTCCCACTTGAAAGAATAAGAAAGTGATGACTTGCTTATTTGTGTTCACCAACTCCATTAGTATAGGGCCTTGTGGAAAGGTGCTCAAAAACAAATTTGTGGGCCCAAAGTAGACAATATCATACTAATGAGGGAGTCAAGGTGAGCATGCAACCCAACAAGTTGGATGGTCAGGGCCCAACAGACTTGATCAAAGAGAGAGTAATATTTTTTATTTTTATAAAGATGACTATGAGCTAATAGAATGTTGTACAAAATTTGACTAGTTGTTTTGGTCTTATTTAATGTGCTCTTAGTCTTTAAGTAACAATGGTGTAACAAGGATAAGAACAGAGAGTTGAATATGTTGACAACCTGATGTGTCCTTCATGAGTTTTCATCAATTTCTCACTAGCTGACTTTATTCCTTGCACTCAGGCCTTATGGCTTATTCTACCATACTGACAGGGATTGCGGAATTCATTATTCATAACCAGGATCAATTCTAAAAACTTTAGATCATGGACTTGTTTCTAAAACGGATGGAAAATATGAAAGATATTCTTACGCTGTTATCAAAGAAGATAGAGCTTAGAAGGATTCTTAAACTGTCTGTTAGTATATATATGTGGGAGTTGCAACTATGGAGACTTTAAACATCAATGTTGTTGCCACTTGCGAATGGAGCCTCAAAACTCAAAAAATCCATATTTATCCCGGGGGAGAAAATATGTCTGTTCTTGATCATGCGTCATTTTGAGTTTGCTCTTTGATTAATTTTCTGGATATAAAGCTGAATTGATTATTTTCCAAACTTTTGTTTGCAGTGACTGAAGTTCATGGGAGGACCTTTGGAGTTTGGACTCTTCTGACTTGCACACTCTGTTTTCTTTGTGCTTTTAATCTTGACAACAAGCCTCTCTACCTGGCAACATTTTTATCGTTCATATATGCTCTTGGTCATTTTGTGACTGAATACCTAATCTATCACACAATGACGATAGCAAATTTATCAACTGTTGGCTTCTTTGCAGGTAAATTCGATTAGCCTTGTCTTTCTTTCCTTTTATCAAATTTTTTTCTTTTGTACATATGCAATTATGAACAAGAATGAACAACAGTGCCTTGGACATTTATTCCACTTATGAATGAAAATGGTTACTTTTCTCATCCAGGCATACACGCATCCTTATATTTTGGTTTTTCTCTGTATTTGCAGCATTCCTATGCACTTATGTTTGTAGAAAACGTTGTCTAATCAACCTCTTCACTTTTTTTAACTTTGAAGTAAGGTTCTTGATTGTGATATTGATACGTTCTTCATTGCTATTGGCTTTTTTAAGTTTACTTTTTGTATGGTCTGCCAGCTGCCTCATCCATGTTAACATAGAGTAATGTAGGAGAGGTCTATCTATACATTTACAAAGCCTGCTATAAGGATTTGTATACTTTGGATCCTTTAACATTACTTGGGGTCTAGAGTAGGGGGTTTCTGCTTTTTGTTTTGTTATCCCTCCTTTTCCTATTTCTCCACTCCTTGGCATGTGATATAGAGAATTTGGTGTGCTAACTTTTAAATTTGAAATATAGTGAGCATGCCAAGCAGTGACACCCATATCATATACTAAAAAGTGGTAGAATTTTCAAACAAGCACTCGTGCCATACGCCATTTGACATTTACCTATTAAGATGCAGGACGTCTCAATTGACATTAGATTAGCACACCTGATTGTGAGAAATGTCTCTAGGTAGAATTATTTGCAAGATAAGGACACAAAATTATTTTGTTTGATGATCGCATACTGACTTAATGTCTGCTGACTCTGGAGTATGTATTTTATAAATTAAGCTGATTTTACTATATTATCCTTTCTTTCACTATATAAATTTTATTTAAACTCTGTTTTTTTTTTTAAATTTTTTTTTTTTTTCTGTTATTATTTTTTTTTTTAATAGGCGGTTCTCTTTGTATGGTTCGTAGTTTCTATTAGATTTTTAAGCAGTTGTCTTCACATTGTTATTTTGCACTTTGTTGCCTTATACAGATGAGTTTGTCATTTTGTGAATGCTCAGAATCGGAAGACGTGCTTGAAATAAAGCTTTGAAAAGTAGAAAATCAACCAGCCATCATATTTGTAAGAAAGATTTTTGAGGTCATTTTTTCCACTGTCAATGATGCTTCAAGAGTATGTAACGTTTTAGCCAAACAGTAGTTTTTTCTTTTACTATAGCTGTCTAAGTCCTTAGTATGAGTAGTTTCTTAGGTTTTGTTTTTTAGGTTGATAAAAAATAAGCAATCACATGGAATGTACTCTGCTTATTGTGATTGAAGTCATGGTGGTTTATCCTACTCAAAGGAGGTTCTCTCAATAAAGGCATAGCAAATTATCTTTACTAGTTGAAGCTTAAGGCCATCAATCACCTTTTGTATTGGTACGTATTCTATAGACAATAAGTGTTGGGAGAAACAATTCAATTAGTAGCTGGAGGTAGCAATTATAGGAATATACGTAGTATAATAGTATAAATACATGCAGGGGAGATTGTTGTTATTTGCCTTTGCAATAAAGAGTCAAAACTTCTTTTAAAAAAGAGCTTCAAGAAATTAAATAGTGTATGAACTGGTGTGGCACAAGAGTCTAATAGATTTACTTTTTCAAAAGGAGCTTCAAGTCCTTATGCTTTGTACAACTACATAATAATACGTAGGACCGCTCGAATGGCACCCATTTAAATTTTGTATTTACCTCATAATTTAAGCCCATTTTTGCTCTCAAAGCATCTCTTAACCGTGTTTCCCATTTCTTTGGCTTTATGAATCATATTTCTACTCAAATTTTTAAGAAGGGTTTCTCTTTGTTTCTATAATTCTTATTTGTACAAAATTCTTAAAGATTAGTCTTCACATTGCGCTTTAGTGCTTCGCTAGCTTAAATACTCCCTCCATGTTTAAATAAATGAAACGTTTTGATTTTCACGGAGTTTTAGGATGGTTAGTTGAATTTATTAAAATAATAGGTAGTAGGGTATAAGTTGAGGAGAGAGAAGAGAGTAAGGGGTTTTGTGGAGACCATTAGGTAGTAGAATGTTATTATAAAGTAGAGAGAATATTATTAAAAAATAGAGAGAAGTTACTAAAAAAGGAAATGTTTCATTTATTTAAACACGGCCGGAAAAGGAAACGTTTTATTTATTTAAACACGGAGAGAGTATATAGTTGGGTTATATATTTTACTCCGTATATTGATATAGTTTTTCTTCTTATTGAAAAAAATCTATGACATATGAGTTTGTGAATAGTCAAAGCGGGAAGACATGCTTGATATTAAGCATAGAACATTGTCAAACTTTTTTTTTATCTGTCTGAAAGGGTTTGAGTTGACATCATATTTTCGTTTGCCAATGCTGCTCTTAGTCAAAACAGTAGTGCTTTTATATAGCTTTTTTTGCTCTATGGTGCAACCGTGCAAAGTAGTTTTCTTAGTAGTTTTGTAGGTCACTCTTTTAGGTTGACTCAGAGTAGGCCCTCGAAATGTGCTTTGTATGATTGAAGCCAAAAATTTATCCTCACTATAGGCAAAGCAAAATACCATTTATACTAGTTTTGAAGCTATGGCCTTCAATCACCTTTCACGATTAGACAAAACAAGTGTTGGATAAATGAATTACTAGATGGAAGATTGGAAGTATACTAGTGATCATAGGGGTATGAATATCTGTATTTGAACATGCTGAAAAGACTGTCATTTGCCATTGCAACTAAATGTTAAAACTGATACTACAAGATCTTCAAAGTCTTGAAATACACTTATTGCTATGGGCCTGAAAGCTATATTTGATGGTTTATGAACACTTCTGCCTGAGGTGCAAGCCTTGGAGTGTGATCTCCTTTGGGCAGCTCAAGCATTTCAGGTGCAAGATATTTTCCTCTTTAAGAAACTGTGAATTCATGTATTTTCAATTCATGCTAAAATGGAGTCACGAATCACTTACTACTAGGAAAATTAACTAATCATTATAGTTTCTATATAACCTTTGTGTTGGCAAGCATGATAATTGTATGTTCAACTCAAGAACTAGACCCCTCACCTTTCTTAGGACTTGCAAGGACTTGTTCTCATAAGGTGTTTTGGTTTGAATTTTCTGGTATGTTTTGATTTGAATTGATATAATTTTGACCAATCTTTGACCTTATTTTTACACTTATGTATGAGAAAAAATGTAGTCGAGCGGGATCTTGTTAGATTTTTCTCATCGTTTACATTTCAAATATGTAATTTTTATAAATTTAGTAGATGAAATAAAAGCTATAAGTTAATTTGATAAGAATATATCTGGTCTGATTTGATTTTGTATAAGTTTCTGAAATAATTTGAATAAAACAATTTCTAAAATACTTTCCTAATATTATGGCTCTACTTAGCAACAACTTTTCATGTAGCCATGTAGGTTCTGCAATTTTGGCCTACTCTGAATCTGTTAAAGTTGAAAATTAGTGTATAAAGTATAGAATAGTTTCCTGTGGAAGTGGATGAATAGAGCTCTTTGTTCTGTAACTAACCAACTAGTTTTACTGAACATTTGTTAAATAAATATTTTAAGAGCTAATCTCTAACAGCCAACAACTAGTAGTGCGGTACAGTGGCTAATAACTACTATAACGACCATCAGATTCTAAGCCCCTCAGTGAAGATGTTATATAATTGAGCTGAAAGGCTTCGATTTCTGATTAAGCAACCTGATTTGGTCTCTCTTGTTAGGTTGAGTTTCAAATGACTGTGTTCGATACTTTTGTGTTTTTTCCAGTCTACTTTCTGTAACAATCAGTTGGTTACACCCTCAAAACTGTATAAATACAATGGCCTTCATCCCACAAACATGTCCTGTAGTATTAAGAGGACGAGAATCTAAACGGCTGAACAGTTCAGGGTCAGATGGCCCTCATACGTATAATTATCTCACTGCCTTAAGTAAGAAGACTAGAAGATTTCATGCTTGAGATAATGTGATACTTATCGTGCATTCGTGCATGCTTGACTTAGATTAGAAGATGCATAACTCACCTGTTGCAACACTTGTAATTGCATTTTTTTTTTTTTTTTTTTTTTTTTTTTGCATTAAAAATAAAATATCGATGAAATGGGTTATCTTGTGAGAATTGACCTTTGGGTTATTTTTTTATTTTATTTTATTTATTTATTTATTTTTTATTAGGTACTTCTATAACATGGATGTCATTGCAGTGGAATGCTCACCAAAACGTGTCAGTGAAGCAAATGTAAATCTGATACGAGATTCCAGTTTGGTGTTTTCTAGAGCTGGGATTTTTTTTTTTTAAATTTTTTTTTATTCATCTCATTTCATGATTTATTCTCGAGCACCGGCTTATGTCATTTTACAGCCACTGCGCTCATAACTTCAACGAAATTTTCGTGTTCTGTTCGAATCATCAGATTTAGGAGTGACCAGATATCAAATGGTCTCAAATGTATGCTTGCCTGCTTGGGTTGTGAAGCCTTGTAACTCATTAACCATTACGTAGCAGATTATATTTTTGATACTCGCAACTGGATTTCTGTTTGAGATCCATAAATCTGTGTATTTTACTTACTGTTGCTTCTGTTAATGATTTGTGTGTCCAACTTTTTGCATTTTCAATTACAAAGATCTGTGTAGATTGGCCCTGTCATTTGGGGTTGACGGTTTGGTTTCGGCCCGTGTTGAAATGGTTTTGGGTTTTGATTTGGCTAACGAGTTTGGTCGGTTCAGTTTCGATTATTATTAGTTCGGTTCAGTTTTGATTTAGTTTTGGACGATTTCAAAAAGGTTCGGTCTTAAATAGTTCGGGTTGTAAAGGATTTTGGTCATGATTGGGTTGGTTTGAAATGAGTCAGGTTAGGAGTGCATTTACCCAGGGTTATACGGTTTTGTAGGCGTCGTTCGAAGCACGCCTACTTAAGCATGTTGTGAATATGTTTGGGACTCGTAGAAAGTGAGAATTGACATTATACGATTAGGGACAAAGGTTCTCATATGGTTAGGAACTTGTAAACCGTTCACGGATCATTAAAAGGAACTTGTAAATCATTCACAGTTCATTAAAAGGCAACCACAATCAGGGGCAACAAAAGGCAACAACGATTGACCAGTGAAAATTACACCCTATTCATAATCCATGAGATTACTAACTCCATATGGTTCGGAACCACAAAAGGAGGATTGGGGATGATGGTACAAAGTGAGTCATGGAGTCACATCCGCCTGTATTGGCTTCTACTCGATTCTTATGGTGAAATGTGATTCCTGCGATATCAAAGACATACAAACAAAGATTCAATTTGCTTTAAACTAATATTAGGCTAAATTGGTTGAATGTTAATGCAACAAATAATTCTAATTATTAGTGATCACTTGATTAAATAACAAGATAAAAAGAACCAAAACCGATTTTCTAAATTATCTTATTAGGCGTTATATTCAATTACATATTCTCTTTAACATGCAATATGGTGATCAATAAATATAATAGAATAAACATTAACCTTGGAAGCAATTTAACCATAATAACAATGATTAGTATATGAAAAAATAACAAAAACCATTAGCAATATAACAGGAACAAAAGGACCATGTTTCCTTACTTTGATTGCTTTTGCTTGCAACTATAAAAAAATAAACGCGTTAGTTAATTCAAGGAAAATTAATAATAAAAATAGAAATTAAATAAAATAAAAGTAAAGTTGATTTGGGGCCAAACCCTCAAACAGTTCTACCTTTCACGCCTTAGTTTAAGTTTAGAATTTCGGGTAAAGTACGAACTTTTGGGAGTGCTTAAGGGATGTATTGTGGAAGAATAAGGAAGACTAGTATTTAGACTAGAGCATAAGAGAGAGAGCGAATGGTTTTTGTGAAAGGAATGGTGTATGTCCTTCGAACAAGTGTATTATTCCGATATAGGGTTCATAATTAATTAGGAAAGCTATTTATTCAGTGAGGACAAGTGATCGGAATGCCTAGCTGGAGATCGCTTCCGATCAGTAATATTAATGTATAATTAATATTACAGCTTGCTCCTGACTAAACCCTTCGGGTCACAGCTAATCGTGTAACAGAATTAAGGCGACGAATTAATCCGGAGGATTAAATAAGTCGATAGAGTTTTTACGAACTGAGATGTCGGATTCCGAGCTTAGAGCGTCGAACGTCGAGTCAATTTATGCAATCGACGAGACGAGAAAATTAGTCAAACAACAAGTCAACGCTCGCGAAAGTCCTAGCCTCGCAATGGCCTAGCCATGCGAGCGCTAAGTAGGCTAGCCATGCAAGACCAGCATGCATCGGATGCATTAGCTGGGCCTGACCAAACAACCATGTAGGCAAGGCTCGCCAGCATGGCCGAGCATGCATGCGGGGAAGGC